TAAGGAGGGAGTACCTTATGGTATGAGAAAGCCCGGGATGATGAAAGGCCCATGTAAGAACTACAGGAAATAACTTGCACTGCTTAATCTGGAGAAAAGAAGATTTAGGGATTGCAGGCAAATATTTTAAGAGCTCTCCCCCACCTGGAAGAATTATTGGACTTTTCCAACTTGGCCCTAGAAGGCACAATTAGGATCGCAGGGTCACAGATTCCGAGCTAGAAAGGATCTCAGGGCCCTGCAGTCAAACTCTCTCATTCACAGATGGGGAAACCGAGGCAATGAAAGAGGGAACAATTTGCCCAACACCATGTACCCAAAGGCAGGATTTGAACTCAGGTTTTGCTTCCCTCTCAATTCCCTATGCCATGCTGCCTCCCAGTGGGTGGAAATTGCAAGACTGGATGAACAACTAGAGTCATCCCAAAGTAGAATGAGTTGTCTTGGGAGGTGTAGTGGATTCCCTCTCACTTGGAGACCTGCAAATCTCTTCTCTGTGGTGTACTGCCTGTATGACCCTGGGCAGGTCATTTCACCTCTGTCTGCCTCAGTTTCCTCATCTGTAAAATGGGGATCCTAATATATACAGTAGCTACACTGACCACCCAGAGTTGTTGGGAGGATCAAATGAAATATTTGTAAATTGCTTAGCACAGTGCCTGGCATACAGTAGGTGCTTAATAAATGCTTCTTCCCTCCCCACTACTTTCCTCAGGCCCCGTGGCATTTCAAGGAGGGAGTCTCACAGAGGAGCTGGAGGGACATAGGACCCTCCCATCCACCACAGCCAACAGGGTCACACCTCCAAATGGGAAATTGTAGGTGGTATCTCAAGGACGGTAGGTTATATCACAGGCCTTTCAACATATATTCCCAGATGGCTCCTCTCTATAGGGACCTGTGCCTGCCGCCAGGCACTGAGGAGGCTGATAAGGCTGATAAGGCACAGTCCCTACCTTCAGGAAGCACACAACAGGGTGTGGGCCCTCTCATGGCTCTAAGGTTGACCAAGGGCTTTCATCCTAATGACCCTGGGAGGGAAGGAGTGCAAGTGCTCACTTTGTCCCTATTTCACAGAAGAGGAAACTGAGGCCCAAGTGACTTGTCTTCGGTCACACAGCTCATGCAGGATTAGGCTTCCTAATAAAAGGATTTGTTCTGTACAACTTGGAGTCGGCCAAAAGGCCGCACCCAAGGACCTAGAAGGCCACATGTGGCCGCGAGGCTGCAGGTTCCCCATCCCTGCCACCAGACCCATCTTCGGACCCAGAGCTCTTTGAACCCTCCAACTCAAGAATAATGAACATCGCCTATCTCTGTAGCCCCTAAAGGTCTACAGAGCGTTTTCCTCATTGTCATTCCAACAGTATGGAAGAGATGCATAGTATTTCAAGGAATTCGGGGAGAAAAGGAGGGAACCAGGGAAGGCTCCCTGAGCTGTTCAAAAAGCAGAGAAGGATTTCTGCAGATGGAGATGAGACTGAGGCTGAGGATGAAATTAGAGTTAGCTCGTTAGAGTATAAAAAGCACCTAATTTGGAAGATCTGGGCTCACTTTCTAGGGGTTGGGTTAGGGTTAGATATGGTCCCTTTCATCTCCAGACCTAGGATATCATGACCCTTCTGAGGCTCAGTTTCCTCAAGTGCAAAATGGGGGTGATGATTTTCTACACTACCTATCCCACAGGGCTATTGTGAGAAGTGCTTCAGGACTCCTTCAAAGTCTAAAATTATAATTACTCAGAGAAGGGAGATCCTCTTCCAGCTGGAGGAGGGGTGGGGTGGCAATCAGGGTAGGAGGATCATTTAGGCTGGAGCCCAGAGTTCAGCCTCCAGACCTGCTGGGTTGAGGCCATTCTGGGGATAGAAAATGAGGTGCTCATACGTATTGTTCTAGGGGAGCAAGGTGAGTAGTCTGGTGTGGGCTACAGTGGATGACGGTGTACTGGGGGAGCAGATAGGAAAGGTAGAGTGGGATCAGCCTTGAATGGCAAGCCAGGGTTTGAATTTCATCCAGTCCTTCTCAAGCATCTCCTCACCATGCTGCCCTACACTGGTCATCGCCTTCCCTAGTTCTGATAGAAGTTTTTACCTTATCTTGCCAAGTCCTAGCTGTCCAATTTACTAAGTCCTTAATAAATTCTTTATTTCTTCCTTCCTTCTTCCCTCTTTTCTTTTCATCCTTTTTTCTTTCCTCCCTTTTTCCTCTCTCCTGCTTTTTTCCTTCCTCCCTTTTTCTTCCTCCTGCCTTTTTCTTTCCTTCCTTCTTCCTTCCCTTCCACCTACTCCCTTCCCCATAAAAAATGGAAAGCTATTTGAAGATTTCTGGACTTAGATCTGTGCATCAGATTACTAGACAGAGGAAGATGGATTGGAGAGATGAGGGATTACAATAACAATAGCTCCTATTTCTATAAAGTTCTAAGATTTACAAAGCATTTTCTTTCCAGCAGTCTTAGAAGGGGACCATCGGGTCAATTTTACACTTGTCTCGAAGCACACAGCTCATATCAGAGTCTAAATTTGAATTCAGATCTCCTGGGGTCCTGGTTCAGCCCCCTCTCCACTCTATCACATTGCCTCTTAATGGTCCTAGTGAGCTGAGACCTAGCTAGAAATCCTGGTACCCTGTGCAAACCTCAAGACATGCCCAGGGCAAGCAGCAGGAAAAACCTTCAAACTAACTTTTTATTGTTTTCTTCATCACTACCCTCCTCCTCAACCTAGCTAATCACTCCTTGTTAACAAAGAAGAAAATAGTCCAGCAAGGCTAACCAACACATCAGCTGAATCTGACGGTATGTAATGTTCCACTCCCATAGTCCCCCACTTTTGCAATGGAGGGGGTTGTTTTTCTAAACTGTTCCTGGGGTTCACTTGGCTCATTATGACCATATCATTCAGGGCTTTTAAAAATATTTTATTTACCTTCCTTCACTGCGCACATGTAATTTTTCAAGCTAAGCTGCGCTCCGGCCTCTCTCATGCCAAGGACGCCGTCTCTGGTGTCTCTCATCCTAGGACCTAAGTGCCTGATAAGATGAATTGTAACCACTTCTAGTCCAACCCAGAACTATGGCTCCCCAGCTGCTTCTCAACATCTTTCCTACCCATGGCTTTCTACCTCTTGCTCTGCAAACAATCATCAAAGCAATTGTACCCACTGGGGAAAGGATGACTTGTCAATCAATTGCTCCAAACCCTCCCTTCCTCCCTCCCATTTCCCCTAAAAGAAGAGAATTTGTCTTTCCCTAAAAGAAGAGAATTTTCTCAAGGGCAGAAACTAGGGTCTAGAAGGGATCTTTTGGCTTGGAATCCCATTGTCTTAGGATTCTGTACCCTTCACCCCTTTTATCTAACCTCCTTCATTTAACAGATGAAGAAACTGAAGACCAGGAAGGGGAAATCATTTGCCCTAATACATACAGGTGGTCACTGCTGGGATTTGAACCACAGTGCAATCAAAGATGACCCTAATGAGGATGGTGGTGCCACACAGGGAAGCTAGGAGAAAGGCAGATTGATGACTCTCATTTTATAAAACTTAAGATTTTTCAAAATGATTTCCTAGAGTTAAATATATATAGACACATACATATACATATATCATATATGAATATATGAAGAGAAGGGAGCTGGCTAAGGTCACCCAGCCAGTATCACAGCTGGGACCCAGGTTTCATTGGCTCCAAGACCAGTGTTCTTACAGAATACCATACTCAGAAACAGGTGACGTCTAGTCAGCCGAGTTTCCTGGGGGGCAGGGACTAGAGCTTCTCTCCTGTTTCCTGCAGAGTCAGACACAGGACTGGGCACATAGGAGACAACAGTAAGACTTAATAGTTGGTGGGAGAGCTACCTCTCAGGCTGAGGTCTAGGAAGAATCTAGTCAGTAGGCAGAGGGAAGGACAGAATGACCCTTTTTTAAAAAGAACTCTGACAAGTCCAGGTTCCTTGGTTTTCCTTTGGCAAACTGATGTCCAGGGTGTGTTCTGTTCAAAGCGAGGCTTCCTGGTGATCTTGGCCTCACATGCCATCCTTTCCCCAGCTCCTCCTCGAGCCCCTCCAGGGCCCACTTCCACCTGCTGAGGGTTCCTCTCCCACAAAGCTCTTCTTTGTGTCTCCCTCTCATAGGGAGCTGTCTGCCCTCCTGGTGTCCAGTGCCCTTTGCAGGCCTCCTCAAACCCAGAGAAGCCTTGTTTTAGTCTTTCTTCATCCCACTAAAGTTCCTTGAGAAGCTCTGTTGAAGTCCATTTCCTTGTCCAGTGCTTTGTGGTTTATGGAGTGAGTCTATAGGTCCATGGAGGAGGGAAGAAGGGATGTAGCTCCTGGGGATTTTGATAAGCCTTTTTCAAGAAACCGATGCTTGTGAGAGTAAGGGGAAGGGATTATTTGGGTAAAAAATTTATTATTATTACTAAATTTAGAATAAAAATTTAAAGGAAATTCTACTGAAGATAGAGGGGTGGCTTCTGCTTAGAACATTCAATCTAGAAGAGTCCTCTTCCCATTTTCCACATGAAGAAACAGGCCCAAAGAGTAGAAAGGACTTTGTTCAAGGTCACATTTTATTAAGTGGACTAGAAACCAGATATTCTAAACTCATAACCCATGGCTCTAGAATTTCTACTACATTCCACTACCTCATTTCAATGAAAATTCAGCAAGGTGAGTGGGCCTGGGTTTGTCCAGAGGAGCCCCTAGGTGAGGAAAGGCCCTAGCTCAGCTCTAGCTGGTCCTGACCTTTCTTCCAGAGGAACTGGGGGGTGGGGTGGGGGGGGGGCACAGCACGAGTTTAGCAAGGTACCCCTATAGCAGATTCTGATTGTTCTGCCCTGGTTCAAACCAAATCCGCAGCAGGACAATCCCCAAGTGCCTCATCGCTTCCTGGATGAAAGCCCGCGCATAGTTTCCCTCCCTTCCCAAGTACCGCCAGCACACCAGCTCTGTGAATGCCTTGTCAGCACCCCCACCCCCCATCCCAGAAACCCAGACTCCAAATTCTCTAAAAAGGAGCTTTATTCATTGCATTTCAATTCATGCAGTTTGAAGTCCATGCAGCGAAGGAGACGAGCATAATTATTCATTTGCTTCTTCAGGGGAGAAAATTGGGGGTGGACAGGTGGAGGGAAAAAAGAGGAGAGCCCCAGTTTCCCTGGGACAGAGGGGGTCCAGAAGAAATGAGACACTGTGCCTGGAGGCAAGTTCATCGTTGAACACGAAAACTGTTCCTGCAGCTTCCAGAGGTGGATGCTTCATTCTGGACAGGGGCAGGTGAGAACCGGCCAACCGACCACCCAGTGACCTAGGGTATTGGGTGCATTAGCCAGAGGTGGCAAGTAAGGTTAAGGCAGCTGTTGTGGGAGCTACTCCCACACCTGGAGAGCTGCTTTTGGGAAGAAGGGGCATGATGAGGGCAGTCTTTTGTAGCCACACCTCAAGAAAATGTTATAAATATGTTATTGAATATTTCCCATTTCAATAGCATTGGACATACAGCTCAACATACTGAAATATTGATTCCTTTATAAAACAAAAAAAAAAAACAAAAAAAGAAAAAGGAAATGAAAAAATATTGCATCTTTCAGTTGGCGATTTCCTAGACCGCAGCATGGGCTGTGTGCACCAGTGTCTTTGCCCGTGGGAGGCTCTGGGGAAGGTGGGACACTCAAGCCAGGCCACAGTGGCAGAAATGGAGTCTGTATGGCCCCGTGCACTGGCTGTGCTGGATGAGGCCCCAGCTGGGCTCAGTCACCCGTCACCTGAGGGGTCTGCCCGTCGGAGGCCTGGTTAGCCGACTGGATGAACATGGGCTGTGCAAGGTCCTGGCCTGCTGGCATGGTGACCTGCTGGATCTGGTACAGCTGCTGTAGGGAAAGGAAGGAAAGCAGAGACCCCAGAGGAACGTCAGTCTAGGCCAGAAGGCCCACTCCCAGAATGCCACCCTCTCCCCTCCCACCTTAAGGCTTGGCGCCCTGCACTCATGCTATCAGTTGCACCCAAAAGGCCATGCCTAAGCCAGGCCCCAGGGGCAGGCTCGTTGTGGGTGGCTCGGAGCTCGGCCTCCCTCTGCGCCCCTGAGAAGAGGGCTACAGCTCAGACTTCTCTCTGCTGAGAGGAAGGTAAGGCACAGGAGCACTGTGCCAGCAGTCACGATGACGAAGTGGCAGCGCTAGAACCCAACAGAAGCCCCCTCTGTACACACTGCTTGTGAACGGAGCCTTCTTCCTCTCCTCTTCCCCCCTGCCTTCCCAAGTCCAAATGCAGGACCCACCACAGACCCTCGGAGAAGGGGGAGGGGCAGGAGATGTGGACATGGGAAGACACTAGTTCCCAAAGCTGAGGGCCACTCTCTTTTCTACAAGCACCGAAGGCTCCACCTTGGAGCCCAGCCGTTGGTCACATCTTGGGAAGCCCTCTGTAGTCGGGGTGCTTCTCCCATTCAGCTTCCTCAGGTGAGTCCAGGCCAGACACTTAGGTCTGGAGGCCAGCCTGGGTAGAAAGGCACTGCACTGAAGAGTCAGGAGACCTGGCTTCAGATCCTGACTGTGTGACCATGAGCAAGGCACCTGAACTTGCTGAGCCTGTTTTCTCATCCATAAAACGTGGGTAACAATCCCTGTATCCCTCACAGGGCATGTCATGACAAAAATACTTGGTAAACCTCAGAGCACCAAAGAAATGGGATCACTCACAGCCAGTCCTCCTTCAATGATAGGAATGCGGCTCTTGCTCACCTCCACCCTGGAAGCCACCACAAGGCAAGCCTTTGTCCCTGACTCTCTGAGGACAGCTGAGGGAGCCCTCTCACTGCCCGGCCAGCTGGTCTTGCCTCTTTCCTCTTCCCCGATGACTCCTTCGACGCTCCCCAGAGGGGAGAAGAAAAGATGACCCAGCCTAAAGGCTCCCCTCTCTGGCAGGCCCAGCCTGTCTGGGGCAGGCCAAAGTACCTCGCTCCTGGGTTAGGGAAGCGTGACCTGGAGAGGATGTATCTGCCCATGGGCACTTCAAACACTCCAGGGATGCATGTGCTTGGAGGGTCCAGGGTCTGGCTCTGGGGCAGAAAGGCAAGGTCCTCCCTTCCCTTTTCAGGGCCTCAGTTTCCTCCTCTAAACAATGAGATAATGGGACCAGATGATCTCTTAAGTCCTGCCAGCTATTATCCTGATGTGTGTCTTGTTCTTAAAGGATCCTCAGGGAACCTTCTTCTTGTTTTAGTAATTTCAGTCCACCATTTGTTTCTAACAGAAGGAAAGCCCAGCTGCTGTAATCACTCCATCCCCCAGGCAGCTCTGAAGCTCTGTCCAGGCCGATGGCTGCCTACCAAGGAACCTCCCACCCCTTCCCCTCTCTGAGACCATGACCCTACCTGTCCGTCTGTGAACTGGCTAAACTGCTGCTGTCCTTGCTGGACCTCTGTCTGTGTAATCTGTGGGAAATAAAAAGAGGAAGGGTGTGCAAGTGAGCTGCGGGCAAAGACCCAGCCATGCAGGCCCCAACCTCAGACTCCAGAGGCTCTCTATGAGGAACCCCCAAGGCCATATTACACAAGCACCACCCCAGGGTGGGCCTTCCCATTCCTGCAGTGATCACCCCCGCATACTCCTCCAACCCCAACGTGGTCTGAACAAACCAATGGGATGGCGGAGGACATGACTTTCATAGGGGGTGGGCTCGATGCTAGAGAAGGTAGGGGGCTAGCTCTTATGGCTGTAGGCAAAGCTAGAGCAGGACCGCAGAATAAATAAGGCAGCTGGGGAAGGGGACAGTGATGCTTCCTTCCTTAGAGGGTTACAGACACAGACACACAGACACTTTTCTCTCTCTCCATCTGATTCCAGGATAGGGATCAGAAAGGGCATGGCAGGTCAGCAGGCTGGCCTTGGCTAAGAGGGCTTGCAGCAAACCTAGAGCTGCTCTCTTCCCACAAGGGTCAGAGGAAAGCAGGGAGGACTACATGAAGGTGAGGGCGGTACTACTTACACAGACACACACAACCCTGCCCTTACCCATGGGCTAACATTAATAAATCAGGGTGTGGGTTTAAGAGAAACAATTTGTGAACAGAACTTAAAAGCAAATTTATTGACCTATGCCTATGTGAGATGCTGTGACAAGTGGAGAATGGTTCCAGTCCATGAGGAGGCTCCCATGGCTGCTACAACAGGCAGAAGGTCCCATGCTCATTAGTTGTAGATGGCCAAGCCACGTCCACTTTCTGGACCTCGGCCTCTCTATTCGTAAATGAGAAAGTGGGACCAGAAGATACTTAAAGTCCCTTCTATCTCTGGCATTCTATGGTCCCAAGAAAACAGAATTTGCCTTTAATTTCTGTAAAGTGTTGGTACTACCCAGGATCCTGTGCGGGACTTGAATGGGTCAATGTGGTGACGAATATCTCCAACTGCATGTCCTCCCAGACATCTTTGCAGCCCACATACACACATACACGTGTTCAAACACTGTCCCCAATTTTCCTTCACTTTTGTTCCCTGCTCTCGAAAGCTGAGCCCTGGGGAGCAGAGAATATCCTCTCCCCCCAGTGTGTATACACATACACAGGTACACACACACAGACACACAGAGACACACACACAGACACACACGAGACTTCCCAGAACATAATACCAGCTCTCTCGGGGAGGCTGAGAAGCACATAGAAGTAGGACTAGGCATCTTAACAGTCTGAATGCAGGAAATTGGGAGAACATGATATAAAGCTAAGCTAGGGTCCCAGGTTTGCAGAAGGGCTCTTTAAACATCCCAGAGCTGTTCAGAACCTGGAAGCTTCATTTTTGGCTCCTTCCTTACATTTCCCCAAATGAGATCTTTGGAGACCTGCTCTAGAAACCTAAGCCTGTCACCACTGTCAATAGATGCATCACCAAAGATGCAATTGTACCAGACAGGTCCAGTTCTCAAACGATTGCTGCTTTTTTTGGGTTCAAGGGAAAAGGATCCATTAACAATGTCCCCTTTCTCCCTCCAGCAATGGGCCCACAGCCACTTCCCTTCACCGTCATAATCCATGGAAGCCATGTCCTTTCACTTGCTCCTCTCTCGCCCCGAGTGACAAACCCAAAGTCAATGGAAGCTACCACTCTTTATGCCCTTGATTCTCCCCCTAGGCATGACAAGGTTCCTGTGACTCCATGAACAAGGAGCTTGGAAATCCCAAAACTACTAGAGAAGGAAAGGAGAACAGTTTCCTCAGTGGAGGGGTATCTGCCTACCATAAGGGCAAAAACCAAGTGTGAAGATTCAGTCTGAGCAGGCTTACTAATAGATAAAAAAGGTTCTGGGATACAGGCTCCCCAGAGGTGCCACAACTGAGCTGCTAGGGCAGCCTGTCACAACTCTGCCAACCTAGGGCATGGACTCACATCACTGGTCTGTGTCTCTCAGGCATCCTAGGGACGCTCCCCTCTGCACAAGGTTTGACTCTGACCCTACAGTTCCTGATGTTCTGTGAGTTCCAGATTGCCCATGCTAACAACTAAAAGAGTGGGGGCTATAAGCAGGCTGGCCTCTCTGGATCCCAAGCCCAAGTCATTCCAGTGAGGAGGAGGCCTCCCCCAGGGAGCCCCTCTGGCCTCCAGCGGTGTCAGTACTGACCTGCTGTGCACTAGCTGCAAGAGTCTGGATCTGTCCCTGAACAACCTGGGTGCCTGATACAGGCTGCGCTAAGCGGATATACTGCAGCTGGCCGGCGTTTAACTGCACCTAGATGGGGCAGACAGACAAACAAACAGAGAGAGACCTTGGTTAACCTGAAGCATGTGAAGGTGATTATTTCCATAACTAGAGCCAAAGAAAACTCAGTCCAGGAACACAGACAGTCTTTTCCTAGGCAGAGCCTGTCAAAGTAGGCAAAAGAAGTGACTGAGCAAGGCGGGGAGGGTTTCACTGACTTTGGAAAAAATAAAATGGCCCCAGCACAACTGCTATTCTTGTGATTTCAATGAAACTAGAGAATCTCCTAAGTTGCCAGAAATATTGCACTAGCTGGCTACCCTTTCCAGAGCAGAAGACCCACCACTACCACCAGCCTGAGTCCAGCGGCTTTCTCTCCTCCTCTCCTTTCCCTTTCTACCCCAGCCCAAGGGAGGCTGAGGGTGGGGGCTGACTGATCTGATGTTGTGAAGAGCTCCAATGTCTGCCAGGGACCCAATCAAAGATGGCCATCGCCCTGCTCGGTAACCTTAGTGCTAACTACACCCATATCTCTCTAGACAGAAAGTGAGTGCTGTGGGCCAGAGGGACAGGGGTAACAGCAGCTGGAGGAGACAGTTTTTAGGGGCCCCAGACCTTCTAGGTTTGCCTAGGTCTACATTGCAAATGTCAGCATGGGGGGTTGAGAGTGGGGAAGAGACAGGGGTGAATATTAAAAAAAACACAAACAAACCATGAACTGACTTTCACAGAACATTCATACTGGCCTGGGCAAGCAAAGATTTGAAAACTCCTTGAGATTCACACACGCTTGTGATTCAGATTTTTAAAAATACTAACTGTGCAGCAATGAGATCCGAGTGTGCCCTACACCTAACTAAGCTTCTTTATGCTCCAGTGAACCAAGGAAACATCATGCCCTATAGGCTACAGATGAACAGAGGGCCAGAGAGGCGAGAGAGTGAGAGGACACACTCTGACCCCAACTCTTACCCGAAGTTAATCCTAGAGCTCTAAACATTCGTCTACAAATAGAAATGAATGCACCCAGTAAAAGAAAGACATATGGTAAAGCAGGCAACTTTAGAAAAGCAGTTGGGTTACAACTGTGATTCGTATTCAGCTTGCCTATACTCCTGGGCTCTCCACTCACCTGCGCAGGAGAGGTTCCTACGGACGTTATGTAAGAGCAGCTTTCCTAAATTCCCTATAGGATCCAACTCCCCTGCAGGGAATGTCACTTTTCCAAAGGTCTCCACATAATGCTGAGTTTCAGCAGGAAAAGTGCTGATGCGACAGTGCTCTGCCCTCTGTGGGGTTAAATAAATAAGAGGCTCTCCCGCAAGAAAGGGGAGGCTGTGAGCCCCAGATGAGGGAGGGAAGGGGAGGAGGGTGGTGCGAAGAGCTGCAGAAGAAACGGGCAGCTTCTCTGAGCCTTCAGATCTGCAAAGCTATTTTAATGCCTCCGCCAGGAGCCCTCCGTGGGCTCACCAGCCTTTATTCATTTGCTCCAAAGACCAGAGTGAGCTAGACAGGGCCACAAGGAGTCACCTTGGCCCCAACTCTGTGCCCAATGGCAGGAAACCTCAAGGCTTGAGGAGGAGGAGAGGCTTTCTGTGGGGCAGCAGCTTGACCACGCTAAAACCTAGTCCAAACCCCAGCGTGCTAGTATGACTAGGCAATGTTTCCTTCAGTCATGGGGAAAGGTGGAGGACGCTTAGTAAATCTCATCTGCTGCAACATAGCTGGTTAGGGTAGGGTCCCAGGACGAAAAGGCAATTAGAAAAGATTGATAAGGTCATTGTCTGTAAGTCCCAACACAGAGCTGGGAAGAGAGCTGGACAGACTGGGGGGGTGTGTGTGTGTCAGAGAAACACACTGGCTGCCTGAAAAAGATCTAAAGAGTGCCATGGAGGGAGGACCTTTGTGACAGAAATGGAAGTAATGAGTATGGAGTGTCAGGGCCAACTTGAAAGAATTTCCAGAACTACTGGAGCTGTCACAAAGTGACTGAAGGCCTTCAGGGAGAAGTGAGGGCTCCTTGCTGGGGGATGCTTTAAGTCAGTCAGTCAACAGACATTCACTGAGCCCACAATGCACCAGGCACCATGCTGAGAAGGGATTCCCCCCAAAGAAGGGATCCTGCCCAAGGAGGACACTAGATGCCCTGATGTTCCTTTTGGCTCTGAGATGCTGGGATTTGTGATGATGTGATCTGAGAAACTACTGGCGTGACAAAGGTCCAACTGCAGACTCTGCAGGGGAACTCCAAGTTTCTTCTTGGTTTCTGCTCTGAAGGCTCGTGTCAGTGAAACCACTGGCTCAAACCCCTTCATCTTCTCCACCAAAGGGCATGTTCCAGATCTTCAGGACACTTGCCTACATCCCCTTCAAGGCAAAGCCTCCTTCCATTACTCCAAAATGAAGCAACGTTCTCAGTTCTACATGTGGGACGGCTTTCCTTCCTGCCTCATTTTCTCTGAAGCTTCCCCTTGGGCCCTGAATGTTTGCTGAGCATGCTAACCGCCCTGCCCCGATGACAGTGTCTCATGACCCCTACCAGGGGTAAGAAGAGCTTTGCCAAAACCACAGCCCAAGGGGCTCAAGTCTCTGAGTCTTTGAAGGGCTGTCATAGAAAAAAGGAATCAGATTGGTCCTGCTTCACCCGAGAGCAGCACTGGCAGCAATGGGCAGAAGTGGCAGAGATGCCTATTTTTGGAGTTGTACAAACAGGGGAATGGGCTGCCTTGGGAGATTCAAGTTCCCCCATGAATGAAGGTTTCTTGGTGGAGGATGGGTCACCACTCAGATCGGATGCGTTCTGAGACCTGTTTCAATCCACCGCCTCATCTTCCATGGGAGACCTCTCTCTCTATAGGGGTTATGCCACTTTGAGGCCAGAGTCACTGCAAAGGTTCCAACTGCTAACACATCTACTCACACATGCTTCTCTCTGTGTGTGCCCAGGATAGGATCAACACTGATGTCGTATGCATGCAGAGAGAACGGTGGCCATTCTCAGAATCCAGAGGCTCACCATGGTCCTCTCCTGTTCTCTCCCTTCTCCCTCCCTTGACTGTCACCAATCTCTGTGCCCTCAGAGGATCACAAGGAACTAGAAAGGTAAGGATAACGCAATGTAAATGGGTTGAAATGAGCCACAATTCCTCCTGGATGAGCAAGGAATGGAAGGACTCCTACAAATCACTTTATGCCTATAAGAGATACCTTTAGTAGAAAAGTGACCAATGCAATGAACTGTTAAGTCACAAGGTAACCAACCCAGAAGATGATGAGGGGTGGGAGGAGAGGTAAAGGGAGAAAAGAGAAAGGGAATGGGGAGTTGGGAAGGAAGAAGTATGGAAGACGGGCAGAAAAGAGGGGAGATAAAGAAGAAAATAAGAGAAAGGAAAGAAAGAGAACAAGGAGGGGGGAGAAAGGACGGGGGAGGGCAGAATGGAAGGAAAAGAGCAGAGAGAGGACAAATCAAAAAGCCAATCCTACTCAGAAATAAGATACTTGTGGCACAGGGGGAAAAAAAAATCAGTCCACACTGAAGCAATGGATCAGTTAAATGAAAGCCAAAAATACACTTTACTGAGGCTCCACTGGGAACTGACTCATGAATATGCAACCAGTGTATTTATGGCCTTCCACAGACACCTCTCTCTAAGCCATCTAGAGGACTAATGCAAAGGGCCGGCTGTGCGGCCTCGGGCCATGGGCTGGACGTCTCCCCAGCTCACTGGCTGGGAGGCTGGTCCTCTCAAAGCCTCTGGGACAGACAGGCTTACCGGAATTTGCTGGATTTCCCCTGTGTTGGTGATGATCTGTTGCATCACCTGCATGGTCTGTCCTGTGCTGCTTGGTGTCTGCTGCGTCTGGCCCTGGGGCTGGGCCTGGACGATCTGCACCTGCTGGCCTTCTCCAACCTGCATCGTCACTGGGGTGGTCTGGTGGCAAAGGACAGGAAAATGGCTGAATTGGGAGGCCAGCAAGATGGCCTAAAGGCTAATAACAACAGCAGGAAAGACACTCTTTGCTCAACTGCATTTCTCTTGACTGGTGTATTTGCCAGTGAGGGTCAAAAACCAAAAGAGTCAAAGCCTCAGGAGTCAGAAACAAAAGAGGAAGGTTAGCCTGATTCTTGGGTCAATTCAAGGACTCCTGAACCCAAGGAAAAATCAACTCTCCTGTCACCCCAGAGCTACTAGCTAGCCTGGCACTGCTCCTCTCCAGGCTGGATTAAACCTTGCAGGCCCACTCCTCGGGTGGGAGCCTAACGTGAAACCAATCAACCAAGAGTCAGAAGATGCAGGATCTGGCCCATGGCTCTTTCCCCTTCAAAGCTGAGAAATCATAGGGAAGGCATTTCTCCTTAGGGACTTAGCTGCCCTACCTATAAAAAGTGATACCTGCTTGAAGGAAGAGAAGATGATCTCCTAGGTCTATTCGAGCTCTCAAACAAAGGATTCTGGGGCAGCTAGGTGGTACAGTGGACAGAGCATCAGCCCTGGAGTCAAACCCCACCTCAGACACTTGACATTTACTCACTGTGTGACCCTGGGCAAGTCACTTAATCCCACTGCCTAGCCAAAAAATCAACCAAACAAACAAACAAACAAATAAAAACAAACAAAAAAACTATAAGATTCTAAGAAAGTCATTTTAGTCTCCAAATGGATCTTGTCCTCTAAATGTTTGCTGCCTTTCCTGTTCCAGCTTAGTGACCACCTGGGCAAAATGCAAGGGAAATTACTGATGCCACCGGACATATAAGACCTGGGGAAGGTAAAGAAAGAGAGTAAAACTTAGGTTGAAAAGTGCCTTTAATTTCAAACTATTAGCCAACATTTACTGAGCTGGGAGGATGACAAAGGGAAATAATGAATAGTCACTTTTGAACCATAAAGGTCTACATAAATGTCTGCTGTTACTATCATTACTATTACTAGGTGCAGAGCCCTGGTCTCACAGGGTTTTCCTTCAGTCTTTCTTTCACATTCAGGTGGCCAAATCACATCAGGGTCCACCTATGCCCAGGGCTGAGGAGGAGCTGCCGCGGCTACGCCTTTGTTCAAACACTCAACATGGGAAGAATCTATTGGATTTGTTGAATGAACAAATGGTAGTGCAGTGAAGATCAGCTGGACTTAGTTTGCTGAGCTCTAATGTCCTTCAGCAAGTCCTTCTTCATAAAACTAGGAGACTGGACTAAATGCTCTCTTGGGCCCATTTCACTCTGACAATTTCAGATTCTATGGATGCATGAGTAACTTCATCCAAGAGGGTGAAAGAGTTGCTTTGGCTTGGAAAAGATTTCAAATCTTGCCCTTCCCTAAGTCTACCACATGTGCCTTCCCTAACTTAGACATGTGGTAGGAAGAGACAGGAGACCAGATCCCTGACCAGCCCCTCCCTGTGGATCTTCGTGGGAGAGCTGATGACGTAAGACGTGAACAGGAAAGAGCTTAAGAAGATCCTTTTCCTCCTCTGCAAAATGAGAGAGAAGAAATAATGACTTCTAAAGCCCCTTCCAGTTCAAAGCATCTTTGCTTTAACTAAACAAGTGTTCAAGAATTTCTGATCTGGATTCACTCCAACAGGGTGACTGACTGGACATAAACAGTGGATGTTGGATTTAGAACTAGCGGGAACCCTAGAAACCATGACTCCCTCATTTTACAGGCAAAGAAACTACAAGTGGGAGAAGTTAACTGGCTTCCCCAAAGTGACCCAGGACACTGTCCTCTGTACCATGCTAGCTTTCATGAAGCATTAGGAATTCTCAGATGAACACATGTGGTGTGCTGGATGTCACAACCTAGTGCCCTTGTTCCTGAGAGGAAGCACAGACTCTGAAAGCTGTAAGATATAAGAAGGATTTTGATAAGTGGATCCATAACATTATTAATGGAAACTTAAGGTGTTGGGAATATTATGTCAAAAGAGAATCCAGAGTAATCACACTGAGATGATGATGATGATGATGATGATGATGATGATGACGACGACAACAAATAATTCTTTAAGGTGTTAGTGCTTTGGAGGCAGCACAGAGAAAAAGCTTAGGAGACAAGAAGCCTGGGTTCCAGTCCTGCCTCTGAGACCCTAGGAGAGTGATTCAGTCAACACTAATTGTTCTAATTCTAGTGGCACAGGAGGGAATCTATCTGCACTGGTAGGGGGACTTTCCTTACCAGGAATTCCATCCACCAAGCCTTCACTCCCTCTGCAGGTCAGTGCTAACCTTAGATCCTTTAATCACCCACTCAGAAACAGAAGAAGGGCAGGGAAGTTCTAGACCTTATAAAGATGGCATCTAGGGATCTCCAGGCATAGGGAAAGTTCACTGTGATAGCTTCCAATTTTATTGCAGGAGAACAGAATTTGCTTTATTGAAATTTTAGGGTGGTAGATGTGGTGTAATGGGAAGGCCACTGGTCTTGGAGAGCCAAGTTCAAACCCTATCTGTGGTGCTGACTTGTCATGAGACCCTGGAAAAGTCATTCGGCTTCCCTGTGACTCAGTTTCTTCCTATGGAAACTGGGTAACAAACACACAATTTACATCACAAAACTATCATAGGAAAGTACTTTGTAAACTTCAAAGTTCTACATAATGTGGGTTAACTACAATTTGCCCCTAATTCTATAGGAATATACTTATTTTGCTTATTAAGAAGACATACAGTTAAACCTCCACAATTCCAGAGGTGCTCAGATTTTGGGGGTGGGAATGGAGAAGTAGAAACAGCACCAAGAGAGTCTGGGAAGGGATATTTGACTGCCCTCTTGGCCTCAGCAGCCAATAAACTAAGCCCCTTAGCCAAAGGGGGCAGAGGCCATGGGTGATCTGTTGACCACTCACTGCCTAAATGTTATCAGAGACAGTTTCTCCAGAAGCCTTGGGAGATATTTCTAAATCATTGTGGGAAAATGAGGTCTCACGTAAATTCTGCTACTATGTATTAATATGTAGTATGTGCTGCTGCCTGGGTTAAATTGGCTACGGAGAAAACTACTTGGGATAACTATCCACGATCAGCCTTTAGAAGAAAAGAATGGAGGTGAGTGTGGCCCCAAACACTGCAGCCTCAGGTTTTAACAGAGGGAACTGAGGCTTTCTGGGATAAAAAGGATCAGAGATTAAAATGAATAAGTACAGAATGCCCCAGGAAACCCCTGCCTCCAGGAAGGAGAGTCCACCTTCTGGGAGCTGAGGTAGTTTCCTCTATGGCCTCTCACCAGGCCTCAGGATGCCAAGTGCCAGCTGACTGACACCAGCAGGGTTGGGCAATGGAGGGAAGCTGGCATTGGTTGTCATTCCTTTCAAGGGTCTGAGTTTCTGTTCTGGAATGAAAGCTCCCAGAGAGTAAGCCTGGTCTCCATTTAACTTTTTCTACACAGACAGCACAACTCTACACGTGGGCCCCATAACATTTTCAGAAGCTCTGATCCCCTAACCTAGCTCCTTCATTTGACAGATGGAAAAATGGAGGCTCCCCAGGCAAGGAGTTAGTGTCCGAGCTGGGACTGAAACTCAGGAAGACTCATCTTCTGCTTTTGTCTGATCCCATTTGGGACACTATGCTTGGTTCTGGACACCACACTAGGAGGGCCATTAAATAAACTGAGCCAATCCAGAGGAGGGCTCCAGAATTTTGAGGGGGCAGGACAACTCCATAATAAGAATCAGTTAAAGGAACGGCAGATTTTAACCTCAAGGAGAGAAGACTGTGGTGGCCCAGGGCAGCTGAGTAGGTGGGGATTGGAAGCAGCCCATGGGATACGATTGCTGTTTTCAAGTATTTGAAAGGTTGTCATGTGGAAGATGGATCAGATTGGTTCTGCTTGGCCCCAGAAAGCAGAACCAGGAATAATGGGTGGAAAAGGCAGAGAGGCACATTTTGGCTCAGCCTGAGAAAACTTCCTATCACAACGAAAACAGGCTGCCTCAGGAGGTGTTGGCTTCTTCAGCTCTGGGTGACCAGAGACATTCTAAGAGGGGATTCCTGCTCAGCAATAGGCTGGACTAAATGCCCTCTGAGGCCCCCTCCCACACTTGAGATTCAGTGTTTTCTGTGACTATCTTTTGTATCTAGGCAGCCAATCTTTCTTCTCCATTTCCCTCCCTCTCCCTATAACAACATAGTAACTAATGACTTTTGAGTCCAGGGAAAAGGGTTTTTGGACAACCTAAACATGGCTGGCTCACTGACCTGGCCCTGCTGAGGTTGGGCAATGATGATCTGTCCTGACTGGATGGTGGTGGTGGAGGTGGTGGTCTGCTGGCCAGTCTGCTGACCCTGGACCTGGACAGCTGCTGCAGGCTGCTGGGCCAATGTGAAGTAGTACTGGACGGGCTCGGCGGGAGTCACAGATTGGCGCACCTCTTCCTGTGGGGTGGAAGCAGATCCAGGTAAGAGGGAAAAAAGTGACACACTCAGCAAACAGCAATTGCAAGAGCCAGAGCAGTGGCCGCCGTCTTGGTGAATTTCCACTCTTTACCCAATACGCTCGGCACATTCCCTGCCTGATGCTGATCTCTCCACATCTAAAGACAAGGGAGAGTGGAATTCCAAGAGCCTGGCTAGGCTAAATCAAACTAAAAATAACTGATTTCAAAGGCCCCACAAAGCACCCAGCCAAATTTCTGAAGTATAGCATAATCACCCATTTCATGATGAGTTGCAAATAATTACTGCAGCTAAACCCCATGCACCAGGCGGACTTGTCAGTAAGCATCCTTGAGGCCTGCTATCTCATCGAAGTGCTAATGGGAAGGTGCTCAGGAAGCACTGTGGCGCTGATGCCTCATCCTTTTCTCCCGTATTAACCCATCCAAAGAACAGTACTGACTCAATCTGATGCAGCAAGAATGGCAAAGAGTTCCACTCATCTGGTGGGATTCGGTGACTCACTGCTTCACAGGGCCACTGCAGCTCTGCAAGCCCAATGTCAGGGCAAAGCCCACGGCAGCCTGCTCTCTAGAGCTCTTTTTTCACTGTAGGCAATCACAACCCACATTTCTTTCCTGATTCCAGCAGAGGGGCTTGCACAAGCAGGCACTTAATAAATGTTTACTAAATTGACTGTATTGAACCATGAAAGCACTGTCCAGGGACCTGCTGAATGGCTTTCCTTCCAGCCAGGGCCTGACCCACCCTTGCTGGCGTGCAGTACCTCTGGTCAGGCCCTTCTGCCCCCTCCCACAGGGAGGGCTATCTTCTCACGAAGTTCATCTGGGGTTCTCCATGGCAGAAGGAGTAAACAGCCCTCTCCCAGCCACCTTGAGCTCACAGCTGAGAGTGTAGGATGTTTACACACACTACAGCATGGTTGTCTCCCGAAGAGTCCAGGGCTGCCTTGCCACTGAGAAAACAAAAGGTAGCCCAGAGTCCACCACCAACATTTCTGGGAAGGTGGGGCCCTGTGCTAGACCCTAACAAGAACAACAATAAAAGCTTCACAGAGATACAGAAACCAAAGAATCACTACCTAAAATCTGTCAAATAAAGACATTACCTCATTAATTCACTAGCTTAATCTAGGCCAGGAATTCTTAACCTGGGGTCTGTGATTTAAAGAAAAAAAAATGTGATAACTATATTGCAAATTAATTGGTTTCCTTTGTAAATCCTATGTATTTTATTTTTTGCACTTAAAAACAACCATTCTGAAAACGGGTTCATAGGCTTCACCAGAGTACCATGATGACACAAAAAAGGTTAAGAGTCCCTGTTCTAGAATAATGGACATTGCAATTAAAAAAAACATGTTCCTGAACAGAAAGACTAGAAGAAAATACCTTCTTCAAGGCAGAAGAGACATTCCTAATCTGCTGCACAGTCCCCATCTCCCACCCTGGCCCTCCACCCCTCCAAGCATTTCAGAGTTTCCATGCCTCATGGAATCCATGCAATGGAGGGTTCACTGGGATCACAACCGTGATGCCAATGAAGTGCAAGCTCCAACAATCCAGAAGCGAGGACTCAATCCCTTCGTTGTACAGGGTAGAAATGGAGGCCCAGAGAAACAAAGTGATTTGCACAAGGTCACGTAAGGTGTAGAGGGACAGAAGTGAGTCACCTGCAGGCAAACCCGGTGTTGTTTCTGCTGACCCATGCTGCCTCTCCTACCAAAGAGGGAAGGCTTTGGGAAATCCTGCCTCCAAAGAACTGACACACAGTTGGAAGACAACAGTGTGGAATTAAGCATGTGCCTGCAAACATGTGTAACTGGTAGTCTTTGTCACAGGAGGGGATACAAGGGTGAGGACCTGTGCTGGTAAATGACAATGAAGTTCTAAAGAAGAAAGGCTCTGTATACCACTCAGCAATGGACTATGTGCCTGCTACCCAGAAAGTGGCTCATGTCCCAAGGGAACAAAAAGGAAAAGCTATGATCTGGGAAAAGTCACAACTTTCTCCAAGTATCAAAGTCAGTGTCTGTTTCAAGGTAGGCCACAAACCTTCTGACCCGGCTATGGTGGCCTGGTTATTAACGTATGACCCCAAAACTGTCCCTCTCCTCTCTCTGGGGTTGGCTTTTCCAGCAAGGGCATACTGGAACATCTGAAGCTGGGGAAGATGGCAGTGTATTCTGATGGAAAGGGGAGCTGTCTTGCTTTGTCTTTCATATGTCTGAGGCGATCTGTGACAACAAAGTCTGCCTCAGCCTCATGAACACTGAAGGGGATAGGCCCCAAATCCCAGAGTGGGTTGCTCCCCCCTGCACTGGGAAGTGCCCTGACAGCTGAAGAGCCTGCTGGAAGGATTGTAACACTCTTGATTCCAAAGTGAACCCTTGTACACAAAGGAAATAGCTTTCTGCCTTCATAAAGGGGGCTTTGGAGGTTTATGTATCACAGTGCTCCAGGCAGAAACAACTTTAAACCTGAACCTGTTTAAATTGGGGCACAGGGAGAGAGGCCTGCAGTCTTTTATTTCCATTCTGTAACCTCTGTTGCCAAAGCAACATAACAGTGACACCTCTGGCCCCTTCTCCCCAGAATAATAGACGTTAACCTGTCAGCTGGGCCTGTGCGGCAGCAGAGATAAAATACCAAGTGTTACCTTGGCCAAAAGACAGCCATGTGATCTGTATATTTTTTCCAGAGTTGCTGAAACAGGCTTCATGTATCTTTTCCACCAAGAAAAACTATACTATATCATTGATCATTGAAAGTAAGGACTGCATTGAGAAGGTATCCCCTGACTTATTCTGGGGTACTATAGGGGAGAGGGAGCTGTGCCAAGGGGGCTTCTCTATCCTTCCCTGCTCCCCCTCTGAATGTTCTCATCACCACTGGCCAAACGCACCACCAACTGACATGAAAGGAAACATGATCCTTTTAAAAGACAAAACCCCAAATAGCCCATCCAACCCTTTCTGTAAGCAGTGGCTTGTGGATCTGCTTCCTCTGATGTGGCAGCACCCAAAGAAGCAAGCAGAGAAGGAGCTTGTCAAGCCACTAGTGCTCACTTTCACGACTGCAGGATAACACAGATGGTATAACAGGATAACCAGGATGAGACTGTTATCAGTTGAAGAGGTAGCCCTTACCTGAAATTATTTTAGGACCTGGGCCAAGTTGCTGTGAAGTATCAGAAATGAGAACACATTATTCTTGGGAGGTTCCTGTTCCTTTCCACTGGAAAGACTGGGAACACAGTGAGAGGGGCAAATGCCAGAGCGAATCTGTGTGGTTTATAGGACTACAAATAATGGGATGAAGAAACTGCTCCCCAGAAATCACTGCCTGGAAGAACAGGGATTTCAGCAGACAGCATCCTCCAACTCACCTTAAAATAAGGGTCAGATAAAAAGATCACAGGCCAGGGAACTTTTATTTTCCCTTGACCTCTCTTTGTGAATTCCCAGAAGCCAAGAGGCCCCAATGGAGGCCCGTCCGCCAGCAGCCTCCTGCCACAGCCCCGGCTGGAGAGTCTGCGGCCAGCTCCTGGACTGCTGGGGAGAGCAAACTGCTGCCTCTTTCAGAAAGAGAGATTTGGAGAGTTGGCTGTTTTAAAGTGGCTCAAGAGATGCCAGCCTATTTGGAGCAAGGGAGAGCTTCGTGCCCACAGAGGATTAAAAGTGCTATCTTGGAATTTCAGGCCAGCTTTCGGCAATCTCAACCCTTCAAAGGCCAGACAGCAGCTGTCCTGAATGGGAAGCCAATCAACTGCTCCACTAGCTACAAAGAGTTAGACCTGAGCAGAAAGAAGCTGTTTCAGCTCTATGGACTCTAAAAAGAGCCTGAGCCAGGGCTTCTCCAGGGCCTTCGTGCTTGGGAGGAGGCACTGACTGCAGCCTAGAAGGAGCCAAAAATATGAAGAGGGAATGACATGACCCCCAGAGAGACCTAAGAAATAGTCTGGTAGCCCCAACAAGAGCAAGGAGGAACATGGGAACAGAATTCCTCACATACCTCACTGTAAAAGGAAGCATTTATTATATAAAGGGGTGAAAAAATTCTAACAAAGCAGAATCTGTTTGTGGCTTAATTTGCTCAGGATGGGAAAGCTGGACTGACCCCTTCCTACAGGTTTTTCACCTACTTTAGGTACTCCCTGGGAATGGGGCCAGAGAAGCCCATGCCCACGCCCCCTGAGGCAGCACTGCCTCCCACCCTACTTGTGGCCAGGATGCCTGTGGCAGCCTGCCGCTGTAAACATCCGACTGAAAGCTCCTCCAAGCACCTTACAGCTTCCAGTCAAGGATGTTTACAGCGGCAAAGACTGCCCAGAGAAAGCTGGGACATAGCAGTGCTGCTCTTGGAGGGTAACAGAGCCCCTTCAGTTCCAATGGCATGGTGCATCAGAGCCAGAAGGGTTCTGTACTCCACCTCCCCCAACTTGGGCCTTCCCAGGGCCTGCTATTCTCACTGACCGAGACAGATGGGCAGAGTGTGCAGATTCAGTGTGACTGCGGCCAGAAATCATTGACCACAGTGTCACTCATTACAAACGCTTAACACCTTACATTAAAAATATAGGAAGAACCAAGACTTAGACCCACAGCCGAGGGGCCTTGGAGTTTGCCTGACTCAAGCCATCTCCTTTCACAGATGAGAAGAATGAGTCTTCAAGAGGAAGGGGAAGAAAACTGCCCAAGGTCACAGACCAAGTGAAGTGTTGGCGACAAGCCTAGAACTTGGGTCCTCTTTACACCAGGTTTCTTTCCACTATCCATCAGAGATTGAGAGCCTAAGAGGATCTTAGAGGTCAACCAGTCCAACCTCCTCATTTTACTGAGGGAGGAATTGAGGCCAGAGAGAGTAACTGATTTACCCAAAATCACAGAGGTAATAAGTAGTAGAGACAGGATTTCAACCCATTTCCTAAGACTACACAGCTACCACTTTCTATTGCACCATGCTGTCTCCCACTGTTTTTCTGTACACTTTAACCTAAGTCCCTAAAACCAAAGGGAAGAGAACATCCTTCCAATTATGTTGAGGAACGATTTGTAGGTGATGCATGATGCTTGTTCTTTGGATTAAAGGCAATGAGGGGCAGAGGAAGGAGTGGAGAGTGAAAGCAGGCCATTTGTCCTTGATATTGTTTAGGGAACTAGCTCTTTTGGGGAAAAAAACTAGAACCTCCTGTTTGCCACAAACACCAGTGCCTGCACTTGGGAAGGTTAGGTCAATAAGCAAACTTTACACTTTGGTGTAATCTTCAGAGCATGTTCCCTCATCTCAAAGTCACAGTGTGGTAAAGCTGTCCCCAGCCAGGATGGAGGGAGTAGGAAGGAGCCCACGTGGAGTCAGGAGGTCTGGGTCTGAGGCCAGGCTCTAGCACTCAGTAGTTAGTATTACAACGGAGAGGTGACTTCTGCCCTTTGGGCCTCAGCTGTTCCATCCGGATTTGACTAGATCCCCAAGGTTCTGGGCAGCACTAACAGCCTTTGTATCTGTCTCTGAGGAGAAAGAGCATGGTCTTGGATGTGGTGTTGAGTTTGGAAACCCTTAGAATGGTTTGACACTTGCTAATTGTGTGACCCTAGGCAAGTCACTTAAATTCTCTGGGTCTTAGCTCCCTTATCTATAAAGAGAGGATAATAATACTTGCAACACTATCTTCTCACAAGGACTGTTATAAGGAAAACATTTGTAAACCCTAGAGCACTACAGAAATGTGAGTTGTTGTAAGACATGTGACTCTGGGCAAGTCACTTCATCTCTCTCTGAGCCTCAATTTTCTCATCTGTCAAATGGGGATCATCATATTACTTGTCCTACTTACCTTCTAGAATTGTTGTAGGAAAAGTGCTTTGCAAACTATAAAATATCGAGCTAGTTGTTATAAAGAGCTAGTGCCAGAAGCATTCTATTTGCAAAATACCCTCCCACCCCCACCCCAGATTCTTCTTTTGGATTTCCCTTATCCCTCCCCTCCACTCCCCTGCCTTCCTCTCTCCCATCCCACTCTGTCCTGCAGAGTTACACCCCAGGCCCTGAACAAAGTAAGAACAGGCAGAAACTTCCAGGGTGATTTGAGTTTAGGAAAACAGAAGCAAAAATACAATTAGCTACATTGGTCTTGGAAAGAAATAAGTTCACTTAGTAAGAACATTCAAAATGCTTTGGACTCCCTCCTTCCCCCAACAATGAGGACATGATTCTATTCCAGCTCACCTGACGCTTGGGAGGTTTCAGTTCATCTCTTGGAACAATATCGATGAGAAAGTCGAACTGGTCAAATTTTGTAATTGCCATGGCGATGTCATTTCTCTGCAACAGTGGGGGGAGAGGGGAGGAGAAGAGGGAAAGGAAAAAGAATGAAACATGGGCCTAAGAACAAATGGCTTCACCTGCCTCATATACTCAGACTCAGAATTCCGGGAGAACAGGTGGCTGGTGAGGGCACAATCCCAGGTTATGGTTTAATGATTTTTCATAGGTGCACCCATGCTTTTTATGCTATTCTACTCTCCCTAACCTGTGAAGACTCAAAGCCCCAAGTAATCAGTCACATATGGTGGTGAGGTGGGAACAGAATTGTATGGTGTACACGATTTCCAAAGACTAAATCCCTACAGATCAAAAACATTTTGATCAGGCAGATACCTTGTGGCCAGGCAGTCCCTCAAATGGGTCATATAAGATGGCATGTTTTTTCAGGAACTAAATAAAGAATGGCACATCTTGGAAAACAAATGCAGGAAAATCCTTCTACCAGAGCTACAATCCTGTGGGAGGCATAGGGCAAGGGTTCAGTCCTCTCTGGAGTCTAAATAAGTCAAAGCCTCCAGGACCTGTGATTTCACAGGCAGAGAACTCCTTCCACCAATGCAGATGCCAACTTACCTATCTATAGCTCACATTCTCAGAGTGCAGCCTGAGGCTCAGAAGGGTCACAGTGACTTGTCCAGGTTCAAAAGCTAATAAGTGCCCCAGGCAGAACCTGAGCTCAGATTCTACCTGGCTCGAAGTCCAGCACTCCAACCACTACACACTCTGCCCCTCAGTTTTCTATATACTATTCCTTAAAGCAAGGCGACAATTTCAACCAATCTGGACAAAAATTCTTTAAAATTGCAGTGTGCATTTTTGGTGAATGCAATACCTAAGCCTGAGGCTGCTATGAGTATCAGCAATAGATGCTGAATGTGGGATTCAAGGGGTCATCAAATTGGAAGGTAGATTAAATCTCTGTCTGGCTGGAGACATGTTAAGTGCCCATTTTCTGGGTATCCTTATTAAAAAGCAAAAACAAAATCCCAAACCTCATCTGACCCCAAGCTCGGCACTATAATGGTGCAGTGACTCTTCTAACTAGATGGCAGAGAATGGAAAATTTCTGGGGCTTTTTTTCCCTTCCCTTGACTGTGATGGCCCCAAGCCACTGAAATGCAAAACTCCAGTCCAACATTCTTGCCAACAGTGAGTTTGATAAGATAGTAGTTTGCTAAAATGTGGGCTACAAACTCTCCAAACCTGAAGCAGGGCACATCAGACAGTGTTTGCCAGGGTTCAGTAAGATGAAGGTGCTATGTCACAACTCTCTAAATATAATTTGTGGAGGGAAAAGGAAAAAGGGAGGGGGGGGAGAGGCAAAGAGGCACCACTTCTACACAAGAACAAAATGTTCTAGACCACTTGGGAAATGAAGGTGTTCTTGAATTAGTCCAACAGTGGCTTAAATTAGGATGCCCACATCTAGACCATAGCTTTATAAAAAGCAGCACCAAGTACTGGTGTTGATTGCTAGTTCCTGGGGGTAAGGGGAAATAAGTCTTCACTCTTACTGAAAAAGATAATAGAATTTCCACCACAGGAAGTCAGAGCTCCAACTAGAATCAGAGAATTAGAAAGGAACACAGCATTTGAACTTGAATCTTTCCTACCACACCTCTAATAAGGAGTATTCATCGAGCCTTCCTATGAAGACTCACCTCACAAGGCAGCCAATTAACTCTTAACTGTTAGGAAGCTTTTCTTTAGAACAATCAAGAATCCATCCTGCTACAAATTCTGTCCATTACTTTAGCTGTGCCTTCTGAGGCCCATCTCTTCCTCATGGTAAGCCTTCATATACTTACTTCTAGTTCCCCCAATCTTCCTTCCTCTGGGCTATAAGCAATCGTCATATGATTGTCTCCAGTGCCCTCCTTCCTCTGGATCTGCTCCAGACTGTTAACACTCTAAAGTGTGGTGCCTAGAACAGAGTTGGGTGCTCCAGGTGGAGTGTGACCAGGGTGGAGACCAGCAGGACTCTTATTCTTCATGTTCTGGATACTACGCCTTTTTTTTAAATGTAGCCCAAGATCATTAGTTTTTCTGGCTCTGCAAACCTTAAAGTACTATATAAATGTGAATTATGCTTGGTAGCATTGGCTGCCATGTTATGCTATTCACTCACATGGACCTAGCAGCTCATCAAAATGCTGACTCCTTAGGATTTGATAAAAATTCCTATTATCTTATGAGCCCTGGTTTGGCCTGAAGGGCAAAAAGGGTAAGGTGCTGCAGTCATTACATGGTGGCAAGTATGAGAAGGGGGAAAATTAACATTCTTCCAAGAGAACTGACAGCACTACATTGTTCTCCCTGGGAAGAAGAAGGCAACAGACTGATTTGAAAGAGAAGAGATAATGTCCTGCCTCTGGACTAAAACCACACAAGCTAAGCAGACTAGAGGAGGGAAGACATCCGATTTCTCCCAGCCTGGAGCAGCTGCTGCCAATTACCTGGAGAGTCCGGCGTTTATTGTCTTCTGTGTGGATCCAGGCTCGTAATGTCAGCTCAGTGATGAATATCTGGGCAGCCTTGGCAAAAAGTACAGGGGCTTCAGCACTTATCATCTGGAAAAAAAATCAGGGTTCTCTGCAGGTCTCATAGTCATGACCACTAATGCTCCATTTACCTCCTCTCCTGCCCCTAGGGAAGAAATTTAGGGCCTAGAGGAGGGGGAGTGGAACCAGACAGAGGTGATTGGGAAGCAAACAGTGGAGGGATGAGTGTGAGAAGACAACAACGCTGTCCTTTAAGAAAGGGTTACAGAGGAGGCATGAGTCAGAAGAACTGGGTTGGAGTTTTGGGTCAGCTCCTCATCAATCAGTCACACTTCATCTTTCTGTGTCCATTTCCCCCTCTGTAAGAGGAGGATGAAGTCTCTGTCTTACCAATCTCTTAAGGAATCTATGAGGAAATGAGACAAAATGTGGAAAATGTGATGATAAAAATATTAATAGCAGTACTTTCTGTGAAAGCAAAAACAAAAAAAAAAAAGAAAGAAAGAAAAGAAAACAAGTGAGTCTCCTAGAAACCACAACCTAAAAGCAACACCCTTTTAAAGGTGGGTCAGGACTGTGATCTTCCTAGACAAATAGTGAGAATTAATATGCTGTCACTACTATAAAGCCTTCTAGAGCTCACAGGGTATGCCAAAATAGTGCAAAAATGCACTAGCATCCTAGCAGTGTGACCAAGGGCAAATCAATTTCTCTAACCCTCAAGTATTCATGAAGGGATGAAGGGATTCCAGCCCTGACACTTTATAGACCTATGAAAAAATTACATTAAAAAATAAAATGAAACAAAGGAGGTGTCCATTTATTAGAGGCTAACTGAGCAAAATTGTAGTATATGAATGTAATGTATTATTACTGGACTATAAGAAATAATGGATAAAGGAATTTAGAGAAATTTGGAAAGACTTATATGAACTGATACAGAATGAAAAAGCAGAATCAAGGTATCAGTGTCACAGTGTCTACAACATTGCAAATAAAAAACAACTCGAATTAAACACAATGATAGATCTTGGTCCTAGAGGACAGAGGATGAAACACACACATCCTTCTGGGTAGGGCAGCAGAGGGCAACAGGTATGGAATGTTACATACCCTGCCAGATGTGGTACCAGTGTCAGTCAATTTTGCTGGACTGTTTTCTTTTTCTGTTACAAAAGATAGGGGGATATATTGGGAAATGCCTGTGTTGTAAAAAACAAAAACAAAAACAAAATAATGAAGGGCAGCAATAAAACTTTATGAACTATTAATTGTAAAAAAAAAATGGGATGAAATAGCTAATAATATTCCTAAGATTCATCCTAAGATTTACTACTATTGCTGCTACTGGGGAAAGAGGTTACTGTCCAAGACAGGGTAACAAAGCTGTAGTGTGTGAGATTAAAGGGGACTACAGAGATCATTTACTCCAATCCCTTCATTTCACAGATGAGGAAACTGATGTCCATAAAAACATACTTGAGGTCACACAGCTGATAAGGGGGAGAGCCAGGCCTGCTGAGCCTGGTTCTCACCTCAGATGCAGTGCTCTTCCCACTACCTCCCTCCACCTCTTAAGAGAGGAGGCCTTTAGGGTCAGGAAAGAGTCCTGAGAAAGCTACCTTCAACTGCACCCAACTGCAGTGCATCTATTCCACAGACCAAAAGATCCTATAAAGAGCCTGTAATGCTCAATAATTGGTTATTCTTAAGCCCAAATCCTTGGAGATGATAAATGGGTGATCAAACATATGACACCCAAGGCTAGTCACACTCCCTTGGCTTCACAGGAAATATTCAGATTTCAAATTGTGAGGGTCTCAGTGATTTCACCAGGCTTCAAATATAAGTAATTCACTCATCATCTTTTTAAATGCACTTGGATAGGCCAGACTAGCCCTAGGCTAAAAACCATTCCAATTCAGAGCATATAACATTTCCATTTGTGAACCAGTCACGATACTAAGGGCAAGAAGAGACCTTACAAGTCATCTCGGCCAACCCTCTCATTAAGTGAGGATGAGGTTAAAGAACCTGAGAGTAGAGCCAGGATAAGCCAGAGTCAAACCCATGTTCTCTGACTCCAAACGCAAACCGTGCTGAAAAAAATGTAGCTGTGGCTGTTATTAATTAAACCTTGTACTCTGGAGAATGAAACAGTTCATCTGCCATGGGAAATGTTCATGACCATAACTTTTAGCTTCACACTGAAAAATAAGTGATACAAGTTTACCTTTACATCTTCATCCAGTTTCATGATCTTCTTAATACGAGCTAGAGGAAGCTCCTGCACACGGAAATCTTTCTGAAACAAGCAATCAGAGAAGCATACATATACTCACTATTATCAAAACTAGGGACGTGGGAAGGTATCAGAAACATGTTCAAACTATTGGGGGGAGGAGAGACGGACTGTAGAGAAAAGGAATTATAATAAAAAGAAATGACAAGTTAGTCTTTGGGACTCTATCCTGATCCCTCATTCCTAAAGCCTTGGAAATACATTTACATTTCATATATAGCATGACAAACTTTCACCAGTCTCCTAACGAAAATATTCAGTTGTATATGTGTGGAAGTGGTGAGTTTTCTTCCCCTGTGCCCATCCAAGGGATGCAATTTTCTGCATTCTTCCCCTCAGACTCCCAGCTTTCAAAGACAGCTTACTTAACAGATGGAGGTATCCATGGTGCCACACTACCCCCTCTTTATGGTCATGAGCTTTGGGACAAGTGGGATGGCATGGTTCCTGTATTGATGTCCATCTGCAATAGCCTGGTGGCTGTTTAGCCAGGTTCTACAGGAGCTCCTGCTAATTTCTGCCTCATCCATCCCCAAACAAGCAGCACAACAACCCCAATAGAAGCTCTCACCTCTGTAGCTTCCCTGCTGAAGGGCAGGTCCTCCTGAAAATCAGGAGGCTCTGCCACTTAACCTTCAGTTTTAACATGCCATCCAACATATAACACTAGTTTTGGCTTCTAGGCTAGGACATAACTGAATCACATGTTAAGCACCTATTCAGTAGGTGCACATGCTATATAACCAGTCTGTCTGAAGTGTTCTTTAAGCACTGAAGCCCAGGCCTGCTTTGACCCCTCATCAAGGTGTGAAGGTGAGTCTAGGTTCTTGGAGGCCCTGCCAGGACAGCAATAGCTCTGGCAGGGATTCCACCAAAGTCAGAAAAACTTCAGGAATGCACCAAGCAATGGACCATGGGTTTGGGTTTTGAAGACTTGCAGAGCTAAGTAGGAGGAACCTTAATGCCAAAGAGGGGATCATTCAGGGATGAGTTGGCGGTGAGGGGGAGAAACTATAGCAACTCATAAAACTATGCCCCCTAAGGCAAAGAATGGGGGAGCTATTGATGTAATAAATGACAGGCCAATGGAGTAAGGAAGGACAATGTATAGAACCATGTGTGTTAACCACTGGGAGAGATATGAAGAATGAGTAAGGCACACTGCGCTTTATGAAGAGGGATGCTTGTGTGTGCCTGTGTGTATGAGCATGAGTCTGAATGTGTATGTGGGTGCCCACATTCTTGTGAGCAAGTCTTTTCCGACTAGCCATTATTCAAATATTTAAAGTTATAGCGTTAAAAAAAAATATGGACATCTGCACACATGCCTGATGACAGATACAATTCTAGAAATAAGAAAATCAATTGTGAATTTTAGAGCAGCAAGGCAATAGATTAATGACTATCAGCAAATCTCCACAGAGGCTAGGTGTCAAATGATTGGATCTGTAAGTGGCTAAAAATGTGACTCATTAAAGCACAATATGCTAGCATGGGAATTCTTGTCACAAGCCCATAAGGGCAGTACCAATGCTAAAAATGCAGCATAATTAACCAGAACAGGTGGAGTATATTTTCAAGCCCCCTAAAAAATGGAACTCAGTCAAAGAAAGACATCCAGACCTTGTTATCCAATTTCATCAGTTTGACCCCAGAAGAAACAGTATCTAATAGCACAATACCAGAAACCCTGACATCTGACTTTTCTGCATCCTGTGTATAACTCTGGGAATGGCATGATGTCTGGTGACCACCCGGCTGATCAAATGTAAACAGCAATTCCTCCTCTTTTCTGTTTTGAACTTAGTCATTAACATTTTCTATGAAGACTTCTCTAATTAGTCCTCAAAGTTTGTCAGACACATTCAAGTTCAGTTTTTGACAATCTGGCAAGGGAGATGGGAGGGAAGGGAACAAGTATCTATGTTGGAAATAAAGTGTAATTGTTCTTTCCACTTTTGTGGCATTTCCTGGTAATGCAGCAAAGTAATCCCACAAAGAAAACTGGAACCACACATGAGTATGGTTAGAAGTGCCACTCTAGAAAGGTTATTTCCTTTACCTCAGCTGCTGTGGTCAAACTTCCACAAAAAAGCTTTTCAAAGACTTCTTAAACCCTAAAGCATAGTCCTAGAAAGAGCCCTGGATTTGGAACCAAAGGACTTGAATTTGAATCCTGGCTCTGCCACTTGCTCCTTCCTCTACTACTCAATTCATCATCTGTAAAATTGGGGGGTAGGGGTGGAGTGGTGAATGGGGCTGGACTAGGTGATCTCTAAAGTTCATTTCCAGCTCTAAAAACTATAATGCTGTAATGTTTTAAATCTAGCTACTAATAGCAAGCCAAACTTAATTAAGAATTATAAAATATCATTTTATAGTAGTGTTATTTTTCCACTGAATTCAATGGACTTCAGAGATAATGAATCAATTTCCTGAATTAGGGAGTGGAACATGTTGGGGGAGCATCTATAGACGAAAAAGTTACTATTAACCCCATTTTATATATGGGAAAACTGAAGGGAAAAGGCAGAAGGGTTTTACTCTAAGTTAGGTAATCCTCAACTTTTTAAAAAGAAAAGGCTATTTTATCCTTTCCCCAAATCTGGAGATCACTAAGCTATTCCTGAGTCTTTGCAGTGATTAAGAAGAGGTCATGTTCTTGTCTGGGGTAGAGAAGAGGGCAATGCTGATGGATATACTCTTTTCCTTCCCTGCATCAGCAACTGGTCTGGATATCTCAGAGGCCTGTGGCTAAGAAATTACCATAGAGAAGCCATCTAGTCTCTTGTTAGTGGAAAATGGCTGACAAATGGGAAAGGGTTTACCCAAAGTTACACAATTAGTTAAGCAGCCCAGGGAAGAGTGCTAGGCTTGGAGTCCAGAGCCTTTGGTTTGAATCCCCCCTGTGGGACCTGCCAGTCATATGGCACAGGTCAGTCATTTACATCCCTGAGCCTATTTCCTCATTTATAAAATGAGATGATACTGGACTAGTTACCTCACAAGGCTGCAGAGTAAAGGCCGTTGAAAATCTCAAAATGCTGCATAAATATCAGTTATTACTAATGAGAATGAGGAATAAAACACAGGTTTCTGAACTTCTGTCCCTTTGCCACACTGGCTAACTCTCTTCAAGATTAAATAGCAGATAAAACAATCAAAACTGGATATTACAATATAAAGAGGAAACTTGGCTACAACGAAGAGCTATGATAACCTCTCCCCCTTCGCAAACAGGAGCCCAGTCTGCAAGTGTGGTATATTGCATGATGCCAATTTTTTTTCAATGTGATGAATGTCTTTGTAGAATTTTTTTAAAAAATTCTGTGTTATAAGAGATGGATCTCTGGGAAGAAGGGGAGGTATAGGAGAAACCTAGATGACAGAAAAACGAACTATCGATAAAATCTATTGTTAAAAAAGATATGATGGTGGATAGAGCACCACCCCTGGAGTCAGGAGAACCCGAGTTCAAATCTGACCTCAGACATGTGACACTTACTAGCTGTGTGACCCTGGGCAAGTCACTTAATCCCATTTCCTAGCCCTCCCCCCCTTAAAAAAAAAAAAAAAAGAGATGATGGTACATAATTAAGGTCTGGAGACCAAATAAAACATACTTCCTGCCCCTTGGTGAAAAGCTGGAAGACTACAAGCATGGACTGCTGCTCACACTGGCAGACTTTGCTATCGGTACATTCTGCTGGACGCTTTTGCTTAACTGATGATTTTAAGGTTCACATATATCCAGAGATTAGAAGGGACCTCAAAGGTTGAGTCCAGGGGAGAAAACTGACTCCCAGAGATGTTAAATGACTTGCCCAAAGTCATCTCAACAGAACCAGAATTTAAACCCAAGCCCTCAGATGCTAAATCCTGCACTCATCAGAAAGACAAATTATATTTAAAATAAATGGAGATGATAGAAAATACTTCGTAGTCTACCCGCCAAAACAAATCCAAGAAGCATATGAACACAATTACAAAACACTTCTTCACAGAAATAAAGTCAGATCTAGATCTCAAACTGTATTATAAAGCAGTAATTATCCAAACAATCTGGTAAGAAATAAGAGTGGTGGATCAGTGGAACAGATTAGGTACAGAAGACATAGCAGTCAATGACCACAGTAATCTAGTGTTTGATAAGCCCAAAGATCCAAGCTTTTGGGACAAAAACTCATTATTTGACAAAAACTGCTAGGAAAACTGGAAAACAGTAAGGCAGAAACGAGGTACAGACTAACATCTCACACTGTAAACCATGACAAGGCCAAAATAGATACAAGATTCACACATAAAGGGTGATACCATAAGCAAATTAGGAGAGCATGGAATAATTTACCTGTCAGATCTATGGATAAGGGAAGAATTTAGGACCAAACAAGATATAGAGAGCATTACAAAATGTTATATGGATCATTTTTTATTATATTAAATTTAAAAGGTTTTGAACAAACAGAACCAATGCAATTAAAATTAGAAGTAAAAGCAGAAAACCGAGGGAAAATTTTTACAGCAAGTATCTCTCATAAAGGCCTCATTTCTCAAATATATAGAGAATTGAGTCTAATTTGTAAGAATACAAGTCACATGAACTAGGTAGTTTTCAGAAGAAATCAAAGCTATCTACAGTCATATAAAAAAAAAATGCTTTCAATATTGATGACACAAATGCAAATTAAAACAACTCCGAGGTACCAGCTCACACCTTTCAGAGTGGCTAATACAACAAAAAAGGAAAATGTTGGATGTTGGAGGGCATACGAAAAAATTGGGACGCTAATGAGCTGCTGGTGGAGTCGTGAACTGATTCAACCATTCTAGAGAACAATTTGGAACTATGCCCAAAGGGCTATAAAATGGTGCAAACCCTTTAAACCAGCTATATTAATACTAGCTTTGTATCCGAAAGAGGAGAAGGACCTATAAGTACAAAAATATTTACAGTAGCTCTTTTCCGGTGGCAAAAAATTGGAAATTGAGGAAATGTCCATCAA